ATGATGATGATGATGATGATGATGATGATGATGATGATGATGATGATGCTTGGGCAGAGATCTTTACTTCTCCCTCCCTCAGATATAACCTGCAAGATTTTCTGGTGAGTGGCAATGACTAGTAACAGAGACAATAAGAACGGAATTGACAAATAGGGATTATCAATTTCATGCTGGAGACAATTTTTTTTATTGACCCCAGTATGTGTGGTGGCATTTTAACTTGTAGTTGGGAGAGGCCCTAGAAGAGGGAAGCCACACATTTGGAACTCCTATTTAATTAGCTATTCCTACACAATATTAATCTGACATTGTAAACTTATAAAAGCTTTATGGACAAATTCTTTTTCTTTTTCTCTCGCTCTCTCTTATCTATCTCTCCTAATATCAAAAATTCATTAAAAAAATCATATAAAAGTGGGATGTCCTGGCTTTGTTAGTCTGTCTTTCTGAACTATGAGATTGAAAAAAGGTCAATTCCTGAATTTTCTCTGGATTAAAAGTTGGAGTAGAAAGTCTTTGCCTGGTTAGTTTGTGAATGCAGCCCCTCGTGCCAGATAAATCACAATGCTTCAGGTTGCTTGCCAGCTACAGAGAGATTTGCATTCTAATGAGTAAATGCTTTCTGTCATGTACATAAAGAGATACCTCAGTTCTTGCCTCTATTCCGGGGTAAAAAGTGTTGGTCCTTTGGAGGAACCCCACCCCCCCGAGGGTGAAGTTGCGAACTGAGGTCCCAGGAAGAGCATGGACCTAATATCCTTCTAAGCAGTCTCTGATTAAAATGTGGAACTTTCTAAAAAATCTGAGAAAGGCCCATATCATTCAGAGGGAACATCTGTTTTCCAGAGAATTCTTGAATGGTAGATTTGTGGAAAGAAAGAGATCTTCCAAAACATTAGAACAGGGGTAGTCAACCTTGGCTCTTTTATGACTCGTGGACTTCAACTCCCAGAATTCCTGAGCCAGCTAAGCTGGCTCAGGAATTCTGGGAGTTGAAGTCCACGAGTCATAAAAGAGCCAAGGTTGACTACCCCTGCATTAGAGAATATTGGAAAAGTTGCCTTAATTGGATTGTTAGGAAGAGAAGCGTCATCCCTTGAGGCTGGAATAAACTGATGCAGCAGTCAGGGAGTTACTGTTAGCAGCTTTGCCTCTATTGATTCAAAAAAAAGCAATCTCTCCCCACTTCCAGTAGGAAACAATAAAGTGAAATGATAATGTCCAGGTTTATGTCCCTGGTAGACATTACTGGAAAAGCAGTAAAGCTACAGCTATTTTTGGCAGAAGCTGTGAGTTTCCTTGTTGCCAAGTGGCAGCATGGGCACGGAGAGTGCTGATCCATAAAGTAGCTGAGGGTCAGACCCGACTGAATGGCCGACTGCAACTACAATATTTCGCACAGCTCCTGCTTCTTCTGCTTCTAATGGATCGAAATGGACAAAACCCAGGCACTGTTCTTGTAAATTCAAGGTCAGTAATCCTTGATGGAGGTTTTATTTGGGTTGCAGGACAGAGAGAAAAGAAGACTGCTTAAGTCAGAGATATTGCAACAGTAATGAGGGACAAAATGTTGGATTAGGGGAAAAAAAAACACCACAACACAACTTGGCTATAACTAGAGGCATTCCTTACATGTTGACAGCTGTAACTCTTCTATTTTCCATCACAGGAAAATATATATGAGAGGGTTTGGGGGTTGTTTTTTTTGCATTATAAACCCTCCCTGCCTCCCAAAGGAGCAATCTACAGGATTTAAATAGATCAGCTTCCTAGTCCCACCTCCTCACAGATTCTTCTTTTGAATTCTGACTACAGTTTATTGTTTTCCCAAATCTTTCTTATTTCATAGGTAAGACTTTGGGGAGGGGAAAACTGTTGAATATCAAGAAGTGACGTTCATTCATTCATTCATTCATTCATTCTAAGCTTGGTTACTGACAACTTATATCGATCTACCTATGCAATCCAAGAGATTCTAAACTCCTTTTCTTTGGGCAAAGCTGGTTACATCCATAGTATGTCATGTGTCTGATTAACGAAACACTTAAAAGGACTTTCAGGCATATTTTTAATCCTAAAAGCATTTATTAAGGTTACAGAGATGTCAGTACGGCATGGTGGAAATGCTTAGATCTGAGATTCTTTTCCGTTGCACCTACATTCCAGGCATTTTCCCTCCCCTATTTTGGGGTCAGGGTTCACATCTTCCAATTAACTTGGAAGATGTGATTTACTTCCGGCTTCTTTTTCCCCGGGCTTTCCTTATTCTCCTCCCCTTTCACTGTTGCCTGATTTAACTATAAAAATACCAGACAGTTCTGCATATTGTCAAAGCAAGAATATACAGCATTTGCAGCGTTGACATAGTACATAGCTGTGACCACTTATATGTCCTATCAGCATTCATGTGCTCACAACTCTTTCTAGATTGGTGGCAGCACCCAGAAACCATTTACATAAAATATTACAAAGCAACCGTTCAGAAACAACAACTAGCCAATAGCCTACCTGGCATTTTCTTTGGTACATTTTTACTTCCTGTTGGAGCTTTAAATTTTCCTCTTGTAGTTTGTTTCTGCTCACCGCTATTTCGCTCACAGTTGATTCAAGTTTTTCCATAAAGAATTTGTTCCTATCAGCGGGCTCGATAAAAGCACCATTCTGGACACCAAGCTGCTCATTTCTGTACTGGCTGGAAGTATCCCCATCATTTTGCTTCAGCTTTTGACAGTGTATTTGGATTTTACAATTTTGAGCTTGTTTCTCAAAAAAGAACAAAAAACAAGAAAACAGGTGCATGAAATTCATTGCTTTGGGAAGAGCAGTATTTCTCTTCTATGCATAAATTTATACCGCTTACCGCTATAGAATGCTGGCACTTGAGAACTGTAAGTCTATTTATTTAGAACAAATTTCAGTAAGAGATTTATAAGAAATGCCCTTGTAGTACCAATCGTTTCTCAGCCTTGGACTAGCCCAAACTTCTAACAGAGCAAAGTTTTCCATGTAAGCCCAATGATCTCCCGAAGTAAGACCACATGGGGGAAAAAACTGCAGTTATGATCAATGCATCAACAACTAATTCTCCACTGGGTGAGAAAGAAATGCAGATTTAATGCACATGATGATGCTTTGGCTAATTATTTCTCCCCGGTCATACTTACTATCATGAGTCTGACTAATGAAACACTTCAAAGAACTTTCAGGCATGGTTTAACCTAAAAAAGCCTTTATTAGTGTAGAGGTGTGTCAGCACGGCATGATGGATGCCAAGATCTGAATTTCCCTTCCCTTTGCACATAACATTCCAGGCATTTCCCCTCCCCTATTTTGGGGTCATGATTCACATCTTCCAATTCACCTGGAGGGCAAAGATTCACTTCCTTTCCTTTTCCCCGGGCTTTCCTTACTAATCTCCTCCCTTTTCTCTGTCATCTGAATTAACTCTAAAAATACCAGACAGTTCTGCATATTTTGTCAAAGCAAGAATATGCAATATTAGCAGCGTTGACACTTACAACTAGAATCAATCTCCAGAAGGAAGAAGTAGCTGGGACTTGAGTTAAGGGAAGCTTAAGTTTCCCCAATACTGTGCAAACTGTGCAGAGCTCTGGTGGCGGAGTAGTTAGAATGCAGTACTGCAGGCTACTTCTGCTAACTGCCGGCTGCTTGCAGTTCGAGTCTCAACGGCTCAAGGTTGACTCAGCCTTCCATCCTTCCGAGGCTGGTAAAATGAGGAGGACCCAGATTGTTGGGGGCAATGTGCTGACTCTCTAAACCGCTTAGAGAGGGCTCTAAAGCATTGTGAAGCGGTATATAAGTCTAAGTGCTATTGCAATCGTATATTGTAGGAATGTGTCCTTGTCTTGTAGCTTCCTTCTTTCCTCAGGGTCATATCCCCCTTGTATTTAGGTACAGCATGTTGTATTTATTTCAATCAATCTACACGGCTGTCTAACGCACAAGCAGAAACTCTAGCTAACTAATAAAAGTTGTGCCTTGACAGCAAGGATTTCCTTCATTGTTTGCATAAACAGATCTATGAATGAGACAGGCTTAAGTCACCATTTAGCTGTATGGTAGAATGGCAGGATTTTCTCCTTTATTTCAATACTACCCAAGGATAACTACAAGGGATATAATATCTGTTATACAGGTAGTCCTTGACTTACAACCACAGTTGAGCCCAAAATGTGTTGCTAAGCAAGACAGTTGTTAAGTGATTCCCCCCCCCTTTATGACCTTTCCTGCCACAGTTGTTATGTGAATCACTGCAGTAGTTTTTGCTTGTCAGAAGGTCACAAAAGACCCTGCAGGCGCCATAAATATATATGAGCCAGCTGCAGGCAACTGAATTTTGGTCATGGGACCATGGGGATGCTGCAACGGTTGTTAGCATGGAAAAAAAGTCACTTTTTCGGTGCTGCTGTAACTTTGAACAATCACTAAACAAATGTTGTAAGACAAGGATTACCTCACCTTGGGCTTTGCCATCTAACATCTTGCAAGTTAAGTTAGGTGAATCAGCAACGGGTAACCATTAGAGTAAGTCGTGGGAGTGTTCCCTCTGGGCACCAATAAGCCACCACTGCAACCATTTTTAATCCAGCCTTTGCCTTTTCTGTATTACATCTCTCACCTCTCACCTTCTGTCTCTCTCGGTTTCCAATAAAGTAGAGGAAAGGAGAGCAAATCTTCACTGTATGATGTGGACAAGAAGACAGATAAGGTCTGAGATTTAGTTGCTACTTTCCTTATTTGGAGAAGAAAGGTTGCCAGCAGCTAGTTGGCTTCACCACTTCCATTTTGCAGGACTTAAGCTAGTTCCCCAATCATGACAGGGTCTGCCTCTTTCCCCTCGGGGCTCTTTCTGCCCTGGTGCTTTCCAAACCTGTCTTCATTTCATCGTCTTTTTGTTTGAGAAGGGCCCAAATTTGGTATATGAGGAGAGGCAGATCCGCCAACCTAGAGAAAGCAGATCCTTCTAGTTCCTGTTGCAGTGCTCTGCCTGATGGGTGTTTTCCACGCTAAGTGATGCAGTGTTGAAAGGAGACTGTAGCCGCTAAGATGAGAGAACCAATCACCATGCGTCCTAGTCAGAACACCACCATTCAGCTATGGCAGGATGGAGACTGTCAATGGGGACTGCACATTTTACGCCAGTCTATTTTTTTTAAAAAAAAAACCAACCTCAAGGATGGATAGAGAGCATCTTCACCTAGCAGTGGGGAATGTCCTTCTAGCTGCTGCCATCTTTGATTTATGGTTCTGATAGAAGCAATACCCGGTTTGTTGGAAGTCACTGGTTAAGGAGGGGCGTACTGCTTTAGTAGTGTGCTCTAGTCTCTGTTCTAAAAAACTTGCAGTCTGATCAAGGGAATGTAGAAACATACCCCTTCCTTGAATATCTGTATGAGTTATAGAGATATCCGTGAGTGGAAAAAGCACTTGAAGTGATTGAGATACAGTCCTTGCTATTAAAAATGTGATTTGTCTGCTTGTACGAAAAAAAAATTCCTACAGCATCACATTCCTGGAATATTTAAATGTGACGAACCTCATTTGCAAAGATATCTACATATTCATTTTTAAGGCTTAGAAAATGTGGGTGAGTATATATATTCTGTTAACTATTTATCTAGGCTTCACGGTTCATTTAATTCCAATTCCTCTTAGCGAAGAAGCAAAGAATGGTACCTGGAACAGATTGCATTTCTCAGACAATAATTTTCGCTGAGCATCTAGAGAAACCAAATGATTTTGATACAGTGTTTCCTGCTTATCCCACTCTCTTGATTTTGCCCTAAATTCCTGAAAGAGAAAAGGAGCACACACACAAAAAATCAGTCAAATTATTGAATGTATCTACGTTCTCTTTATATTTCTTAAAAATGAATAACGGGTGCAACCTTCAGTATAAAGGGCCTTTGCGCTTAAAAGTTCTCGTATAATACATTATTGTTAACAATTTAGATGGCCCTTGCCAGGTGCAAAGCACATTATTCGCCATTGATAACACTTGACACTTAAGTGTTCGAAAAGCTCGGCATGCAAAGATGCATTCTCACAAGGAGCCATGCTTCCTCCTCCACCAGCCCTTCAAATGACAAAGCGCTTGCCCTTGTTCACATACATCAGCCTGAAGCAATGAAGCCGGGCTGCAATTCCTCTAGTTGTGATTCATTTGTTGGACCCCACAGAGGAGCAGAGTTCTGTTGTGGTGCCGCTATGAATGCACTCTTGCGTGTATTCAAAAATATTGTCATATCAGGCTTATGGGCCCCCCGCTTGAAAAGCTATTCAGAGCATTAGGCTAAGATAGGCGATCAATCCCCAAACGGTAATAGGTGAGATGGGACTCACTTCGGGTCTACCACTGGCCTTTGCATTGGAATTATCCATGCCGACATTAAGAGTCAGGGATGGTGTGAGCAATTTTGTTCTTGAAGGAGGCTTGCTAACCTGTCCCAGCAGGCCTTTGATGGTTTCATCATATCCCTGCCAGGTTTCATCTTAATAATCTATTTGCCTCCAGGAATAGCTCTGTTGGATGAATACTTGAGGATGCGTGGCCCAACTGGACATGATAATGTATTTTCACTTGTGTTTATTCATATGCAGTATGAGATTTGGGCCATTTGTTATTCATCTATTGTTTTGTCTGTTTTATAGCCTTGGCATCCTTACCGAATAAGGATCTGCAAACAATTGCATTGATAGATCTTCCATTTTATCACCCTAGAACAGGGGTCTTCAAACGTGGCCCTTTTAATGACTTGTGGACTTCAACTCCCAGAATTCCTCAGCCAGGCACGCTGGCTGAGGAATTCTGGGAGTTGAAGTCCACAAGTCATAAAAGGGCCAAGTTTGAAGACCCCTGCCCTATAGGGTGTGTGTTGGACTATTATACCTATCCATCAATCATTACATATGAGCATCCACAGTTCTTCTTACCCAAGGACACCTTTGTAAATCCAACATCCTAGTGAAGGAGTTACTAATCTAAACTTCACGAAGTAGATCGGTCATGTTAGTAGCCTCAGGAAAAAGCTTTTAATTCTAGACCTCCAGATTTGCCCTTAGTGGAAACCACCAGGATCAGTGTGTTGAGACAATAACACAAAGAGCCACGGGTGGTTGTCATACCAGTCATTCTGTTTACAAATGGAGTTCAAAAGGCATCTCCAATGATGAATTCCCACAACACACTGGTTTTGGGATTTTGAACACCATTCCAGAAACTAGCATATCCACATCCAGCAGGGATAATGACGGGCAGGGGGATGAAGATGATGATGATATTGCCCATTCAGTTGTCTCTGATTTTTGGCAATTCAATAGGTCAGGTCTTTCCACATCTTCCAATCTTGTGCTACTTCTTTGAGCTGTTCTATGCTCTGGCTGGTGTCAGCTTTGATGGTGTCCAGCACTGTGTTCTTTGGTGGTTTGGTTTCCTTTTAACACTAACTCTTCCAAACTAATTGCTTTCTCCAATGAATTCCCCCACATGACATGGCCAAAATAAATGAGACACGTCTGGTGTTATGCACTCCAGTACTTGTTGGTCACCTTTGCTGTCCAAGGAACATAGACAAGCCTTCTCCAGTACCACAGCTCAAATAGGTTGATGAATATATAATAGAACCAGTGATTTATCTCTCTAGCCTAGGGGTAGGCAACCTTGGCTCTTTTATGACTCGTGGACTTCAACTCCCAGAATTCCTGAGCCAGCCATGCTGAGGGGAAAGGCAGAGTTTCCAAGCTGAGCCATGCTGGCTCAGGAATTCTGGGAGTTGAAGTCCACGAGTCATAAAAGAGCCAAGGTTGCCTACCCCTGCTCTAGCCCAGGGGGGTCAAACTCGCCACATCACATGATGTGTCGTGACATATCGTGAGTTTTTTCCCCTTGCCGGAGATGGGGTGGGCACGGGCTGGCAGTTTGACCCCTCTGCTCTAGCCTAAGACAAGTACACTCAAACCACACCCTTGAATGGGGTTTTCTATCATTCTTTTCTGCAGTAAAGTTCTGTTGTTTTGCACTTTTCTGTGGCTTCCTCCGAAACCTGTAAACAGCTCTTCCCTGCTTTGCTTTCAAGCTAAGAACAAATGCAAAAGCTATTCTTTCATCCCTTACAGAATAAAAGACCAAGGATGCCTTTGAAAAGGGCATTTCCTTCAGCTCTTTCTGCCATGGAGAAGAGAAACACACGTACTCTGTTCTGAAACCGCTGTCTTTTGAAGCAGCTCTGGGGAAACTTGTAAATTTGGGTTGGCAAAATGCACATTCTGTGACACAAGGACAGCTCCAGCAGTAGATCCAGCAGCAAATTAGCAATTAAACACTACTGGATGAAGAAGCTCGGTGAGCAGTGCTCATCAATGTCTCCCTGTGCTTAGGATCCGTTGATAGAATCTCTCCCTCTGTTCTGGATCCTGAATTAAGATGCTTTGTAATTCAAGACCAGACAGATAACTCAACGAAGATGGTTACACTAACTTATTAACATAGGATTCACTGAACAGCTAAAACTACATTACCCATAAGCCATCTCTTAAGGAGACAGCGTTTAACCCTATAAATGCCAAACATTCTAACATACAGATCTATATGCTCTGGTCAGGGTTATATTGATCCAGCACACCCTCCAAACTGCAGATACCCAAATAATGTATTTTATATACTCAGGGCATATACATCTAAGGGGTCAATGGTGCTCTCTGAGCTTGGTTGTTTTCTTGCAGACGTTTTATTACCCAAACTAGGTAACATCATCAGTGCTAGTAAGAAGTGCTAGTAAGAAATGGGAACAAACCCCACTCCTTACTAGCACTGATGATGTTACCTAGTTTGGGTAATGAAAGATCTGCAAGAAGACATCCAAGCTCAGAGAGCACGAAGGGCCCTTCATTTCAACCCTGAGTTATAAACATTCTTGTTTATTGGTAGTCTATAAATCTGTTGTTCCCAACTTAAGCTGGCAGCTGAGAGGTCCCCTTCCCCTTTCCCAAAAATACTCATTACTTTTCTGTCCCTAAGACATTTATTCGTTTATTTTATTAATGCCAAGTTTTGTGTGACTGGACCTCATGCAGCCCAACACAAGTGCATAAAATGAACACAGAACATAGAATAATATGGTTGGAAGGGACCTTAAAAGTCTTCTAGTTCAACTCCCTGCTCGAGCAGGAGACCCTATACCATTCTGGACAAATGGCTGATCAATCTCTTCTTGAAAACCTCCAATGATGGAGCTTCCACAACTTCCAGAGGCAAGCTATTCCACTGACTAATTGTTCTCACTGTCAGGAAATTTCTCCGTAGTTTTAGCTTGGATCTTCCACCCGTTACTTCTTGTCCTGTCGTCAGGTACTCTGGAGAAGAGGCTGACCCCCTCTTCTCTGTGACAGCCTCCCCTCCAGTATGGAAGATTGCAATCACATCACCCCAGTGCTTCTCTTTGTTAGAGTAGACCAGGAGTAGGCAACCTTGGCTCTTTTATGACTCATGAACTTCAACTCCCAGAATTCCTGAGTCAGCCATGCTGAGGGGAAAGGGAGAGGTTTCCAAGCTGAGCCATGCTGGCTCAGGAATTCTGGGAGTTGAAATCCACGAGTCATAAAAGAGCCAAGGTTGCCTACCCCTGGACTAGACCAAGGATGTCAAACTCGCAACGTCACGTGACGTGTTGCGACTTTTCCCCCATTGCCGGCAATGGGGTGGGCGTGGTTTTGGTGTGACGCATCTGGTCCGCAGGCTGGCAGTTTGACCCCTGGACTAGACATACCTAGTTCCCTCAGTTGTTCATCCAGACGCTTTATCATCTTTGTTGCTCTTCTCTACATTCTTTCCAGGGTTTCTAGTTGTTGCAATCACTGTAACAACGTTTTCTTGAACAGTCAGGTTTCACTTCACAAACCAGCAAAATATTTATATAGCTGCCTCTAAATTTTGGAGAACACTAGCTCTAGCACACTGCAACAATCTCCCCATAGAAGTTATGGAGGATCGATACAGAAAAACCCCCTATGAGCTGTCCCCTTGAACGAGGAAACACAGCTGAAAACACAGCTCATGTCCTGTTATCTAGTACCATCTATAAGGATTTAAGGGCTCATTTTATAACTCCTTACCTGACAAAATACCTGGGAAATTTTGATCACTGTTATGTACAGTTGCTACTATCAGATCAGTATGATGCAGTTTCTTTGAACGTAGATAAATTCTGCTATATTGTCTGTAAAATTAGGCAGGCTGGCCATTATCAACAGGTGGCCAAATTTTACAGACAGTATAGTAGAATTTAGCTATGTTCAAAGAAACGGTATCATACTGATCTGATAGTAACAACTGTACATAAAAGAATCCATAGTTACCCTAAGTCTCAAAAGATATATGATATTAATGAGGTGTGATTGATAAATATGTAATCTAAAGTGATACTCTAATGCATTCCAAATACATGTCTAAGTCCCTGTCCCTGTCATATCTTGGTGTGCTTTTAATTTTAAGTTAATGGACAAGACCACAGGTGTCCGGCAGATGCTACAATCATGTCCTTCATGAAGCCATTACCAAAATGATGTCATGGTACACCTGATGTCAGGTGTCTCCCTTGTTCTACTCTATCCTGTGGCTTGCCCATGAAAGGGGCAATCAGAACGGGTGGGAGAGGCAGACCTTTCTATGCCTGTGTCAAGTTCCTATGACACAAATTAGTTGCTTATCCTTCTGGTTTGCCATCAAGAAGTTACATGAAATGTGCCCTCCCTTTCTGAGCCTACAAACAAAACAAATAAACAGAAGCTAGAATCATTTTTTTCTCTCAGGGGATAGCCAGAGAACGCCACACCTGATTAAAGGTGAAAGGAGACTGACTCTTGCAAGTCTCCAAAGACAAATAATCATATTTTCCCTTCCTGTCCCCTCCCTTGATCTTGGAGTACAAGGTTTGCAAAAGAAGCATTACTTCAAACAGAGATCCTTACCTCCAATTTCTGGTTTAAACTGTTCATCTGGAAAGGTGCTTCTTGGTTTTCTGTGCATTTCTCCATGTTGCGAGTTTTATTTTGTTTTAATTGGTGCAACTGTAACTTTTCATAGCTTTGTGTCAGCTTAGCAAACTAAAAATAAGCGAATGCCAAGAATATGTTATTTCTTTCTTAAAAATTGATGGCAGGATGGGCTAAGGCAGTTAAACTTGAATATTATAATTAGCCGTACTTCTTCTTTTTTTATTGTACCACCTATTACAACTAAGCAGTTAAGGGTGAACACAGGTGAACTTTCTTACAGTTTGTGGTATCAATTAATTGCATGATTAAACAGTGTTTACTTGGTTTATTATACCCTCTGTGTAAAAGAATTTCTACCTAGTGTTTGTAGGAATAGTTTTGCATTAACTTAGCGCCATCTTCTGCAGACAGGCTTAACCTTTCTTCAAAAATCAAAGAATTGGGTTAATTAGCATAAACTAATCTTTAAATGATCTAATAGTTGTTTCCCTAGGTGATAAATGAGTAGCATTGGGGGAAAAATTGTTTTTTACCTAGCTCACAAAGTGGATCTGTGCGGTGAGAATCATTCATGTCTCCACCTGAATACTGTGATCCCAATTCTAAACTTGTAGCAAGCAACTCAGATCAATAAAAATCATATGTTTAAAGTGAAATTCTTATGTAAAATATATAAGTTGGTCCTGCCATTTCTGTATCTAAGAAAGGATAATTAAATACGACAGTCAGTGTCAAACAAAATGACTGCAAACACAGGAACCTTACATTCAAAGGGGCACAGAAAGTACTTTGCTTGGATGGCTACTGATCGTTCTGGGAAAAGTAAAAGATTGCATACAGATGGGGAGAGAAATACTATATGGGTGGTCCTCATCTTAGGACTACAAATTGAGTAGAAAATTTCCATTGCTAAGCAAGACAGTTGTCAAGCGAGTTTCCTCCCATTTTATTTCCTTTCTTGCCACAGTTGTTAAATGAATCACTGCAGTTGTTAAGTTAGAATCACAGATGTTAAGTGAATCTGGCTTCCTCATTGGCTTTGATTTTTAGAAGGTCCCAAACCCCAGGACACTGCAACTGTCATAAATACCAGTCAGTAGCCAAGCATTTGAATTTTGATCGCATGACCGTGAGGATGTTGCAACAGCAACGTCACATTTTTCAGTGCTGTTGTAATTTCAAATGGTCACTAAGCAGATAGTTGTAAGTCAAGGACTACCAGTACAGTACTTCCTTCTCCTAGATACCTTATCAAAAGGACATATCATCTCTCTTCCTTACACCCCAAGTGTTGAATGGGAATTCCTGGATTTTAATGGACAAGATTAGCTGCTGCCTTTGAAGGGGTGTTATGCCAATCACCAAAATGTTCAGGCAAATGGAGGAATGGGTGGGCTTATATAATCATTTCCCAAGGCACAATCCAAATACAATGGATGAACTCATCGATGGATTGCTTTCCAGAACAAACCCATGTTCTCCATTCACACAATCACATTCCTCACCTAGTCTGTTTGAACACTTGAGCTTCAAGAATAAAGAGTGACTGGATTCAGACTGTGGTTTGATTGGTTTCATTTGAACAGACTGGGGTGAATCCCAGCAGTGGTCCACAATTAGCAATTAATCAAACGTATGAATCAAACCAAATCTCCATAGATAAAAAAACGGTTCAGTCCAATTTGGGAGAAAAAGAGTAAATTTAAGTGAGAAGGACATTATTAATCCAAATGCTAATGAAGGATTCCATCATGACCCCTTTCGTTCCACGAATAAAAATCCCCTTAGTACTGGTAAAATTAGGTAATAATTTTTCCAAATCACTAAACTAACCTTGGAATATTTCATGCACTGTAAAATAGGAATCTGACTTTTTCCTTACTTGAGTTTTCAAGGCTTGAAGCTGTGCATCATAATTCTGAGCCATCTCATATTTTGACTTTTGTAAGCTGTCCAGTTTCTGTCTGAGTAAGCCCACCTGTATTTGAAAGGGGTATTATTCTGAGCCTTTAAATAAATCCAATAACAAAATGATTCCTACGCTGGGTTACATAACAATAATTTTCTTCTGTTCGATTATATCTGATTCTTGGAGACTACCTGGACCAAGTCCCTGCAGTTTTCTTGGCAAGATTTTCCAGCAGTGATTTGCCATTGTCTCCTTCCTAGGGCTGGGAGAAAGTGACCAGCCCAAGATCATCCAGCTAGCTTAGTGCCTAAGGCTGGAGTAAACTCACAGTCTCTTGGTTTCTAGCCTAATGGTTTCTAGCTTGAAGCCTTAACCACTATACCAAACTGAGTAAAATACTGTGGGATTTCCAAATACATCCTGATAAAATCTTGGCTTGTAACACCCCAGATTTAACTGTGGTTGAACAGAAGAAAGTGTGGGGTTCCAGCTCCCAGTGGGGGAAATGGATGTTTAACTGGAAATGGTATCGCAGTTTGTTTTGCCCAGAGTTACTTGGGGGGGGGGGGAAGGAGTTTCCTTCCTCCAGATTTAAGGAGGAAATTTCAGATTGACCCATCTACCCTCCAGACCAGAGATAGGCAACCTTGACTCTTTTATGACTTGTGGACTTCAACTCCCAGAATCTCTGAGCCAGCATGGCTCAGCTTGGAAACCTCCCCCCCCCTTTTTGGCACTTGGATCCTTCAACTATGTCTCGTATTTATGTGAATTATGAATCCAAGTGTTGGAGGTGTGGGCATCCAGATGCAACTTTTTTTCATATGTGGTGGACTTGTAAGGTTATTAAGGCCTTTTGGGTACAATTATGGTGGAACCTACAGCAGATTTTTAAAAAAAGGATTATTTTCCTTCCACAGTTGTTTCTTTTAGGTATTGTACAACATTTAGATGTAAAAGAAACAAATTTGATGCTTTATTGCTTATCTGCTGCTCGATTGCTGATAGCCCAAAATTGGAAGAGCCCAATTCTGCCCACGATGGGAGACTGGAGATTGAAAGTTTCGTACCTTGCTGAAATGGCAAAGATTTCGGCTTATTTGAAGAATCACTCGAATGAACAATTTTTATCAATATGGAGAAGATGGATCGTTTATATTCAAAAGAAACACAGAGTGGTAGAATATAATTTAGGTTTCTAGACTTTTCTTAAGTTTGCTTATGGTTCTTATTTCTTCTTGTAGATTAAGACACTTTGTGGAGTTAGAGATATTAGTATTTGCTTACTTTTATATGAATTTTATCCTGGGATTAGGTTTGGGAAGTCCGGGGGGGGGGATTTTTGATTGGTTATTGTGTTTACGTATGTTTGTTTTTTATGATGGAAAAAAATAAATAAAATTTCTTAAAAAAAAAAAAAAAAGGAAACCTCTCCCTTTCCCCTCAGCATGGCTGGCTCAGGAATTCTGGGAGTTGAAGTCCACGAGTCATCAAAGAGCCATGGTTGCCTACCCCTGCTCCATACTGTTGAAATGGCAGTTTCTTTGGCTGGTGAGTTGAGTGACAGCGAGGCAGGGTCTTTCATCAACTTAGTGGCTGTGATGCAGCCTAAATTATGGACACTAGACTAGAATCAACATTCCTCAATTCTAATACACTTTTTAGATCAGTGTTTCTCAGCCTTGGCAACTTTAAGATATGTGGACTTCAACTCCCAGAATCCCCCAGCCAGCATTGAAAGTCACAGAGTTAGAATCCACACATCTTAAAGTTGCCAAGGTTGAGAAACATGGTTTTAGATTCTAATTTCTCCTTCAGTTAAAAAGAGACTTTCTTCATATAAACAGTAGGTAAGCGTTTCTCTTTGATGGTTTATTTCTGAGATGGTAATATTTAGAAATGTCTGAGAACTTTACAGCCTTTTGCTTGTCTTGCCAAAAATGAGAATTAAAAAGATTAAAATATTTAAATGGAAAGAAATAACTTTTCTTTTTTTGAAAAGGTGAATAGAAAGAACCTCTTGGTGGGAAAGCTGTCTTGTTTACATACAGTACCAGTTGTAAAACAAAACCTTGAAGGCTGATTATCAAAGCACAAGATGCCTACTTTAAAGAAAATATTTGATTTATGGGTCTGTGAAGGGCTTGAAATTTTTAACATTTTGCTGAAACCAGAAGTTGCTACTGAAGATGAACAAATCCCTCTTGAGACAACAGAGATGGACTCACTGGATTTTCAAATGCAATTGGATGACCATTTAAAAATGGAAAAAGACATTGTGGATTACTCTTTCAAACTACTTCACGGAAACTACAAGTGACCTTGGAAGATGATAATTGTGTCAGAAAGGAAAAGATGCTACAAGAAAACAGGAGTCATAATTTTATTTACAGGATTTAAGGATGTTTGGGAAGAAGGGAAAAATAGATTTAGAATTCAAAATGATCTGTGCACTTCTGGTACAGAAAAATACTATTGAGGAATGACGAATATCTGGTTGTCTCTAACCTGATCCAGATCTCTGCATACAAATCTTAGTTATCAGAAGGGGGAGAGTAGAGAGATACACCTTTGCATGCAAAAGAACTCATCAATAGGATCATTTTTTATTTTTTAAATGCTGATGCAGTCCCATCCATTTTGCACAAACACCGTTTAGCAGGAGCCAGAATGCCTTTCCTTCCCTCCAGCCTGCTCTGTCGAAACCTAATTATTTTATAGAGTCTGCCTTTTTGAAAAGAGGATAAATAATGCAAAATATCAGTTATATTTATTCTATTGCCTGGTTCACACATTTTGCTACATTATGTTTCTGTCTGGTTTCGGCTCAGCATGATGCATGAACCCATTATGGCTTAGCATTCTGTGCGGAAAAAGCCTCCGCAGCTTGTGCAACAAAGTATTATTTTAAAATGGTATATCGTTATGTATGAATGCAATCCATGCAGAAAGGTTAGATAGGAGGCCCTGGCTATACTATTTTTGTTCTGGAACATTTTATACATGGTCTGTTAAACATCCAAGAAAAAAAATAACATCCAGAAAGATCAGGAAAATATAGCTGAGAGAATGCCTGATCTCTCTCTCTCTCTCTCTCTCTCTCTCTCTCTCTCTCTCTCTCTCTCTCTCTCTCTCTCTCTCTCTCCTCTCTCTGTGTGTGTGTGTGTGTGTGTGTGTGTCTCTGTCTGTCTGTCTGTCTGTCTCTCTCTCTCTCTCTCTCTCTCTCTGTCTCTCTCTCTCTCTCCCCCTCCCTCTGTGTGTGTGTGGGCAGCTGGATAGTGTAGTGGTTAGAGAGCCACTTTTCACATTCACAGGGTGTGAATCCTGGCTTACCAATTGGGGTCCTTGGGCAAAGACCTCCCATACTTCACCTGACTGCCTCAGACACAAGAGTGACACAAAGTAGAAGAGCCATGCCACCTGGGACATCATTGGATTAACAACAGCTGCATCAGATGTGGGGAAAAGGAGACAATCGGATGATAAGTGGGCTAGCTTAATGAAACCATACATGGTCTAGCTTAAAGAAAAGAAGAACTAGGGGAGACATGATAGCAGTGTTCCCGTAACCCTAACCCTAAGGGGCTGCCACAAAGAAGAGGGGGGTCCACCTGTTCTCCAAAGCACCTGAAGGCAGGAGAAGAAGCAATGGATGGAAACTGATCAAGGAGAGAAGCAACCTAGAACTCAGGAGAAATTTTCGGACACTGAGATAAATTAATCGGTGGAACAACCTGCCTCCAGAAGTTGGGAATGCTCCAACACTGGAAATTTTTAAGAAGGGATTGAATAACTATTTGTCTGAAATGGTATTTAGTCCTCCATGTTGTTTCCTTAGCAACAACAAGGCAAAAAGGCTACCCAATCTACTGATTCTATAAGCCTGGGACTTCCTCTGGACTTCCATCCTACAACTAATCAGGCTGGCTTCTGTTTATCTTTTTTTTTTTTTTTTGAGATCATCCAAGGCAAATTATTGCATAGCTCCCTCCCATTCAATGCAATATTCACAAGATAAATGATGCAATATTACCTCTTGACCTTTCTGATCTAATTTGCTTTGGGCACTTGCTAACTCTTGATCCCGGATAGTCATTCTTGCTTCCAATCCCTGCAGCTTCTTTTCCCATTCCAGTTTCTTCTTGTTTACCATTATGTCGATCTGGTGCATCAGTTCTTGAAGTTCAGCATCACCAGGGACAGATCTAAAAGCAACCATTTTGTTTCATTCTTTAAGCGAATTAAAACATATACAGAAAACGACCTCTCTCCCTCCCCATTAGTCTGTCTTTTTCTTTTGAACTTTAGAAAAGCTCTGCAAGGGAAGAATACAGGCAGTCCTCGACTTACTGTACAACAGTTCTGTGGGAAGTCAGCCCCCCCCGAGAAGGAAATATTAAAAGGGCAGAAAAATATATTTTCTCAAAGGATCTTAAAGAGGCAGAAAAGCATGCCCAGTTTTCTTAATAGCCCCAAGTCTCCCTCCCCTAAGCAGAAACCAGCTCTGTAGAAATGCAGATTCAAGAAGATTGAAGCTAGAAGATTAAGAAGACAAAGACACCTAAAATCTACATACCCCACCCAAACTCTAAGACAGGACATAATAGGATTAACCCACAGATGCCAAAGGGCACACTCAGACTCAGGTCAAAGTTCATGCCACAGGAACAACTCCAAACAAAAGGCTCCAGAGGGTATAAAAACCCACTCCCTACATGTGCTCTCGCTCTTTTCTTCCAGAGCCCTCTTTCTGTCTGGCTCTCCTCTTCAGTAAACTGCAACTTTCTTTCTAAAGCAATCGCCATGTTGTTTAGTCCCAGCTTGGACTGAACCATAATGAAGACTTTTCTTTCAACAGTTCATTTTGTGACCGTTCAAAATTATAGCAGCACTGGAAAAAGTGATTTATGACCATTTTTCACAGTTACAACTTTGGCAGCATCCCCATGGTCACGTGATCAAAATTCAGATGCTTGGCAACTGCTCCACATTTATGACTGTTGCAGTGTCCCAGGATCATGTGATCACCTTTTGTGACTTTCTGACGAGCAAAATCAATGGGGAAGGCAGATTCACTTAACAACCGGGTTACGAACTTAACAGTTGCAGTACTATCATACCATTTACACTAAAGCTTTTGAAGTAGCCCAATTAGAAAACAATTAAAAATGTTTTTAACAAGATTCTTTTGATGGGGGATGAGGGCAAATGATCAAACTGTAAACCTTTTCCTAATTAGCAAGTTTATGCGTGCTAAAGAGTTTAAAAAAAAGAACATTCCTCTTCTTTGACTAGGTTTGGAAAGTAATTTCAGCAAGTAATGAGGGTCAATTAAGAAATCCCCCCCCCATGAAAAGCAGTTAGCCCCATCATAGCTCCATAGCCTAATAAATGAAATCTTAAATTTGTCAGTATCGAGCGTTAAGGTGCTAATTAACAGGCTGACTGGCTTTTGCATCTGTAATAGTGACACAATATGATTTGTGATTGCTGTATAAATCTCTAGAAGAAGATTTCCCAATTTCAGCAACTTTAAGATGTGTGGACTTTAATTCCCCATTATTCTGGGTTGCAATGGGTTGTAATGCTACCAAGGCAATTGAATTCATTCTTATGGAGGAAAAATACTGGGAGTTAAAATCCAGGCATCTTAAAGTTGCTGAGAAATACGGCTCTAGAACCTCTTTAGATTCTAAAGTACATTCAAAATTTAAAGAAGCTTTGAAATTTCAGGTAGTCCTCCACTTACAGCCATTCATTTAGTGAACATTTGAAGTTACAATGGCACTGAAAAAAGTTCCTAATGACTACAGTATTTTTCACACTTACAACCGTTGCAGCACCCCCCCCCATGGTCACATGATCAAAATTCAGATGCTCGGCAACTGGTTCATATTTATGACGGTTGCCGTGTCCCGGGGTCATGTGATCCCCTTTCGCGACCTTCTGGCAAGCAAAGTCAATGGGGAAGCCAGATTCACTTAACAAGTGTGTTACTAACTTAACAACTTCAGCAATTCACTTAACTGTGGCAAGAAAGGTCATAAAATGAGGGAAAACTCATTTGACAACTATCTTGCTTAGCAACAAAATTTTTTGGCTCAGATATGGTTGTAAGTCGAGGACTACTGTCCCATTTAGAAAAATGTTAAAAAAACTGAAGGGTCACAGGCCATACTATTTGTCACTATAATGACAAAACGTAGAATGTAAATATCAGACAGTCCCAATCTCAATTTAATGACAAAAACCCTGTGTTAAAGGCAGACAATCAGCTCCATGCCTTGGATTAATTTTCCCATCTGTAAGGAGGCCTTACAAGTCTGCTTTTAAAAATGATGTACGGACTGTAGCATCTTGAATCCCCAGCACAAACATTGTATGAAAATATTAAGTCAGCAATCATTTATATATGTGCTGGGTGTAGCGTCTCAAGTTAAATTCCACTCTTAATGTCTACATGCAGGGTTTTTTTTTGAGAAGAGTATGGAAGGATTTTTTTTTTAATTTTCCAACTTATTGTGGTATGATATATCCAGGTACTAATCAGGTTTGCCCTTTTTAGTTTCCAAATTCTGTCCATATCTTCCAGATTCTGCCAATTTGTAAGGCTATTTAGAAATAAACCTCACTAAAAAGTAATGTCTGTTTCAAATCCAATGGGTCTTCCTTGTTAAACTATTGCTTATCTAGCCACGAAGAAGCAGTGAAAATACATCTATCACATTTTACACTCCAGCTTCAAGTCTCTCGTTTAAACCAAAGTTTTCTATTACTCTTTTAACAGGGAGATCTGGGATAATACTGGCTTACTGACTGGAATCATGCAAAACTACTGTGCTAAGCCATGATTGGTATAACAATTCTCAATGGGCTGGAACACACAACACTGAAAAGTAAACCATTTACATTATAGCTTGGAGCAGTGTTTCCTAACTTTGGCAACTGTAAGATGTGTGGACCAATTCTCAGAATCCCCCATCCAGCATTTATTCTGGAGAATAAACCAGTTTGTCTGGTTAATCCAAATGAGTCATAATCTGTAAATTTTATTTATATTAATTAATCCCAACTGCACCATGATGTGTAAAGGTTAGCCATCCAGGGCTTTTTTCAGAGGTATTTTTGTGGGCCCGGAACAGGTTTTATCAATTACTGTAGTAGTAAATTCCTGGGAGAGATATTTATATTTCATATATTGTTGTGTAGTTGGCTACCATCTGTTCCTGCAACATTCACCTTTCAACCTCATGTTTACCACTGAGGACAATCCATTTTGTTAGCCACCAGGAGAGCAGCAAGACTCATACCCAGCTTATCACTCTCCAAACAAAACATTACTGTACAGGTAATCCTCGACTTACAACCATAATTAAGCCCCAAATTTCTGTTGCTAAGCAAGACAGTTGTTAAGTGAGCCTTGCCCCATTTTACAGTCTTTCCTGCTACAGTTGTTATGTGAATTACTGCACTTGTTTAGTAACATGGTTGTTAGGTGAATTTGGCTTCCCCGTTGACTTTGTTTGTCTGAAGGCCGCAAAAAGTGATCATGTGACTCCAGGACACTGCAACTGTTATAAATGCAGACAAGTTTCCAAGCATCTGAATTTTGATCACGTGACCATAGGGATGTTGCAATGGGCATAAGTGTGAAAAACCGTCATAAATCACTTTTTTCAGTGCTGTTGTAACTTTGAATGGTCACTAAACAAATGGTTTGTAAGTCAAGGACTCCCTGTAGACTGATATAACAAAGCTAGGATTTGTTATAATTATTTGTAAAGATCTCTAAAGAAGAAAGTTTGCAATTATTATTATTATTATTAT